TCCTGTCTCACATTTAGGTCTTTCATCCATTTTGAATCTATTTTTGTGTGTGGTGTAAGGAAACAGTCCAGTTTCATTCTTCTGCATGTGGCTGTCCAATTTTCCCAACACCATTTGTTGAAGAGACTGTCTTTTTTCCATTGGACATTCTCAGAAACATTTTAAAGTACTACTTTTATAGATTCTGCATTGTAGATTCTGTATTATTTTATTTTTTATCTTCACCTTTGGGGATAATATGAATTCTGAGATAAAAATGAGATATATTCAGTAAATGTTTATTGAGTATTTGATATGTGCCAGGTACTCTTCTTGGTTCTGGGGAGCCAGCACCAAACAAAACAAAGTCCCTTGCCTTCATGGAGCTTCAGTTCTTTTTTTCTTTCTTCCCTTCTTCTTCCTCCTTCCTTCCTTTTTCCCTTACTCCCTTTCTTCCTGTCATAGATTAGACAGTAAATAGGCAGAGAGAAGTTCATGTTGTATATGAACAGGAGTATTAAGATCATGATTATGAAGGTATGTGGCCATTTGGCAACCCTAATAGAATTAGCTATATTTGTGGCAACTGCTATCTTTTTTTTTTTTTCTTAAGGTTTTATTTTAGAGAGAGAGAGAACAAGTGGAGGGGGGCGCGGAAGGCAGAGGGAGAGGGGAAGCAGACTCCCTGCTGAGCACAGAGCGAGAGGCAGGGCTTGATCTCACAACCCCAAGATCATGACCCTGAGCCAAAATCAAGTGGACACTTAACTGACTAAGCCACCCAGGCACCCCACTGCTATCTTGATATTATGTTTATTTGTAAGCTCTTAGATGTTTTAATTAATTTTTTTAAACTCTTGGGAGTAGTTTATTTTGTGAGGCATTGCTCTGTTTAGAGCATGGGGTTTCTGTTTAGATTTGTATTGTATTTACATGTATTACATGTATTTACATGTCTTCATCTTTGCATGTTTGAAGACTAAAGATAGGCATCAAAATCAAAGTGCTAAGGAAACACAGTTTTAGTGATTAGATATCATTGGAGAAGTTCTAGTCAAATCTTGACAAGCAAAAGTGAGACTATTTTTTGTTTTTAAGAGAACCTTCTCTAAAAAATGAGTAATTGCAAAAGCTTGTTACCTTATTATCTGTAGAGTTTATAACAGTGGGCACAGTAGTGAATACAAGGATGTATACATGCAAGAACATTAAAAAATATTTCATAGAAATTGGTACTTATGAAATAGATTTAGAAACTTCTCAAATTAAATGTTAAAAGTTTTCCATTCCCTTGTCACTTGTGAAGAAACAAATCCTTAATACTTTTTTAATATTTACCATGGTTTACAGAAATTGATCAACAAGCTGAAGAAAGTGACCAAGCCCAGCAGGCACAGACGCCGGTTACCACTAGCCCATCAGCCTCGAGCACAACTTCCTTTATGAGCAGCTCACTGGAGGACACCACGACTGCCACCACTCCAGTCACTGACACAGAAACAGTACCTGCATCTGAATCCCCAGGAGTGATGCCACTTAGTCTTCTCAGGTAGGGAAGTTGACTTTAACATCTGCCATATTGATGCCTGTGATTTTGATCTCACGATCATTCTCTTATAAACAATGTGCCTAACTAAAAGCATTCTAGAGCTAGAAGGAACCTAAGAGATCATAGAGTCAAAGCCAATTTGCTGAAGTTGGGAATGTTCTTCAGAAGTTTAATAACTTGCCCAAAGTCTCACAGCCAGTTTAGAAGTGGCTGATCTATCTCCCGTGCCACTGGCAGATACTCTAGCCGTCTATCTCCTTATAATAATCTTTTTTTTGGGCTAGGTTTTTGAATATTTTTTTCCTCAAAAAGTAAATGCTTGTATTGAATATTAGAGCTTCAAGATAGAACGCACTTCCATGGAATAATTTTCTCAGGTTATTTCCCTTTTAAGCATTATTTTTTAATTATACTTTTATTCTTGTAAGATCAAACAAGTCTACTCAAATGAAAGAGCATGTCTTATGATACTTCTTCAGCCAACCCTATTTTAGTAGGTTTGTAAATTCCAAATAATGTTTAAGTTTCTTTTTGCTTCAGTTTGCCAGGTATATTCACAAAATGAAAAATTTTGAGAGAAAATCGTTAGGAAGGGACTATTTTGTGAGCTCCCTTAACTAGGGCTTAAGTGAAATAAAGGGCAGTAGAATGGTTAGTCTCCTTTTTTCTTCTTTCTTTACCCCCTTCCCTTAATTGACAGGTTATTATTATTCCTAGGGTATAGACTGACATCTTAGAGAGTAGAAGAGAGAGGGGCTGTTATCGTAATGCTTCTTAATTTTTGGTGTCCACAAGAACCACCTGGGAGGCTTTTTAAAGCTCTGGCTCTATCCCCCTGTAGTCTCATTCAGTAGGGCTGGTGGGGCACACAGTTTGCATTTGAATTGAGGGTCCCCAGTGATTCTGATGCCGTGGTCTTCAGCTCACACACTGAGAGTTACTGCTTTGCTCTTGGGCCGGAACACTCATCCTGGCAGTTACCAATGCCCAGTCCACACACATCTTAGCTCTCTCACTTGAGTAACAGTTCCAGGAGATACTTCTGTTCAAGAAAGAAGGAAGAGAGGAATAATAGGATATTCTAATACAGTTTTTAATCCTTGTTGCCTTCCAAGCTGTGCTGTGCAGGCATGGGATTCCCTGGTAAAATAACATTCCCTTGCTTTCACAGGCATTCACAGACCTTGTGACTCCTCCTTTGTCCTCAGTCTTTGTTTGCCTGCTGTTAGAGCTGCAGTTGTGTTTGCCTGGCTAAACATCATTTAACACTAGAAGAATCCGGGAACAACTGCCCCCTCTGTGAATATCATTGTATCAGTTATTCGACTGGATAGACAATGCTTTATTGATGCTCAAAAAGTTATTAGTTTTGTTGGATAAATCTTAAGAGTAGACAGTTGATGAGGATCTTTCTGAACCTTATTCTTTAGCCAATGTCTACCTTCTCAGCCTGAGAGGGGCTGCCTTTCTTCTGCCTTTCCCCTCTAGACAGCTGGCATACCATTCATACGCTGTTTTCAGTTGTGCTGGGGGCTGGGCAGTTACCTTTTCTTTCCATAACTTACCTATTGACTCTTACTTTATTCATGTGAATAATTTCATGGCTAGCTAGTAAATTTATATTTGAAGTAACTGTAAGTTAGCTATCTTTAAAAGTCTTTATTCTCTAACTACTGTATCCCTACCAAAATACCACTGTCATCTTGGTATTATAGTAGAAGGAAAGCTCTGTGAAGGCAGGGATTTTTTAAAATCTATTTTGTTAATTGCTGTATTCCCCCCACCTGCTATGTTGCTGGCATTTTGCTGAACAAATAATATGGTATTACTACTTTTATGGTAAAAAGTGTCCTATTAGATAGTAATTATTAAAATTGTTGGGAGTCTTTCTCCCCTCCCCATTAAACTATAGCTAACTTCATGTAGTTTTCCAGGTTGAATATTCTTCTATAAGAGGACTGTGATATATATATTATTTTCTAATTGGATTTTTATGCTAACTATTGTTGTTTTCTTAAAGGCAAATGTTCTCTAGTTACCCAACTACCACTGTACTTCCCACACGTCGTGCACAGACTCCTCCAATATCATCGTTACCAACCTCTCCTTCTGATGAAGTAGGAAGGAGGCAAAGCTTAACTTCTCCTGATTCCCAGTCAGCAAGGCCGGCTAACCGCACAGGTGTGTTTACTGTCATGCACTGTGACACCCAAACCTCTTAGCATTCCTGATAGGTGGGACTTGATAACTTGGGCATTGTGTTTTGTCTCATTGAAGGTAAAACAGTGATTTTAATAAAGGGGGGGGGATCTGTCCTATCAAACTGAACCGTCTTTTTTATTTTGAAGCTGTAGATTGAATTATGGCTACCTGGGAGAGAAATAGTGTACTCTACATCAGTCGTATCAGACCCTTCTTATTTTCTAATATAGACACTTTTAGTGCTATGAATTTCCCTTAAGCATTGCTTTTGCTTCAACCCACACATTTTGAGATGCTGTGTTTTCATTTTCATTCAGTTTAAAGTACTTTCTAATTTACCATGGATATCTCCTTTGACAGTTTGGATCATTTGGAAGTATGTTATTTTGTTTCCAGATATTTAGGAATTTTCCAGATGTCTCTCTCTTACTGATTTCTAATTTAATTTCATTGTTATCAGAAAACATATCTTGTATAATTTGAATTCTGTTAAATTTGTTGAGACTTGGGGTGCCTGGGTGGCTCAGTTGGTTAAGCGACTGCCTTTGGCTCAGGTCATGATCCTGGAGTCCTGGGATCGAGTCCCGCATCAGGCTCCCTGCTCAGCAGGGAGTCTGCTTCTCCCTCTGATTCTCCTCCCTCTCATGCTCTCTGTCTCTCATTCTCTCTCTCTCAATAAATAAATAAAATCTTTAAAAAAAAAAAAAATTTGTTGAGACTTATTTTATGGCCCAGAATATGGTCTGTTTTGATAAATATTCCATGTGTACTTGGAAAAAATGTGTATTATGCTGTTGTTGAGTAGAGTGTCGTGTAAATTGTTGGTTAGGTCAGGGTGGTTGATTATTATGTTCAAGTCTTCTTTATCTTTACTGATTTTTGGTCTACTTATTCTATCATTTATTGATAGTGTTTAAATCTCTGACTGTAATTGTGGATTTGTTTATTTCCTCTTTCATTTATTAGTTTTTGTTTCATGTATTTTAAAATTCTCTTTAGGTCCATAAATATTTAAGGTTCTTAAGTCTTCTTAATGAATTGACCTCTTTATCATTATGAAATGACTGTCTTTACCCCTGGTAATATTCTTTGCCCTTAAATCTGCTTTATCTGGTATAAATATAGCCACTTACTTTTTTTTAAATTACTTTTAGTATCGTATGTCTTCTCCCATCATTTTACCTTTAACTTTTTTGTGTCTTTATATTTAAAATGGGTTTCTTAAAGGCAGCCTATTGTTGGGTCTTGCTTTTGGCGGGGGGGGGGGTTCCTTGCTTTTTTAATCCAACCTGATATTCTCTGCCTTTTAATTGGTGTGTTTAGACCATTTACATTGAATGTGATAACTGTATGGTTGTGTTTAAATTTGTCATCTTTCTGTTCATGTCATCTGTTCTTTGTTCTTTTCTTCCTCTATTTCTACCTTCTTTGGATTAAATTAATATTTCATTTTATCTCCTTTGTTGGCTTATTAGCTATACTTTATATTGTATTTTTAAAGATTACTTTCAGGTGTATATTATGTATCTTTAATTATCACAGGCTGTCTTCAAGTAGTGTTATCATGTATATTTAAAAAAATCTAACAGTGGTATGCTTTTATTTCCTCTTTCTCAGTCTTTGAACTTTTATTATACATTTATATATAATATGTTATAAAGCCCCATAATACATTGTTATCATTTTTTTAAAGATCTGTTTATTTATTTTGGTGGGGAGAGGAAGATGGAGCAGGAGAGAGAGACTTTCAAGCAGATTCCTCACTGAGCACGGAGTCTGATGTAGGGGTCGATCTCATGACCCTGAAATCATGACCTGAGCTGAAATCTAGAGTTGGACACTTAACCAACTGAGACACCTAGGCATCCTTACATTGTTACTATTTTTGCTGTGAACAAAAGAGATTTGAAAACTAAAGTGTATTTTATATTTACCCACATAATTCCCATTTCTGAGATACTTTATTCCTTTATGTGGATCCAGATTTCCAGGTGGTATCATTTCCTTCTGCTATCCCTTTAACATTTCTTGTAATGGTCTGCTAGTGATGAATTCTTTTGGCTCTTATATATCTGAAAGAGTTTATTTCACTGTCATTTTTGAAAAATATTTTCATTGGATATAGAATTCTAGATTGATAGTTTTTTTTCTTTCAGTACTTTTAGATCCTCTACCATCTTCTGGCTTGCATTGTTTCCAATGATAAATTTTCTATCATTCTAATCTTGGTGTAATATGCCTTTTTCTATGGGTGCTTTTAAGATTTTTCTGTTTTATCACTAGGCTTAAGCAGTTTGATTTGACCTGCCCTGACATAGCTTTCTTCAATTTTCTTGTGCTTGGGGTTTGTTGAGCTTCTTGGATTTGTAGATTTAGAGTTGTCATTAAATTTGGAAATTTTTAATCCATTATTTTTTCAGATTTTTTTTTTCTGTTACATTCCTCCATTTCAGTATCTGTGGTTATGGGTATATAACACCACTTGAAGTTGTCCCACAGATCACTAATGCTTTGATTTTTTTTAATGTCTTTTTTCTATGTTTCCATTTTTGATAGTTTTTGTTGTTGTGTCATCTGGTCATTAATCTTTTCTTTGTAGTGTTTAATTGTTCATAATCCCATCCAGTGTATTTTTCCATTCAGACATTGTCATTTTCATAACTAGAAGTTGAGTGTAGATTTTTTTTTAATTTTTTATGTTTTTTTTTTTTTTAAAGATTTTATTTATTTATTTGAGAGAGAGAGTGAGAGAGAGAAAGAGCACAAGAGGGGGGAGCGGGAGAGGGAGAAGCAGACTCCCCGCCGAGCAGGGAGCCCGATGCGGGACTCAATCCCGGGACTCCAGGATCATGACCTGAGCCGAAGGCAGTCGCCCAACCAACTGAGCCACCCAGGCGCCCAATTTTTTATGTTTTTAACATGCTTAATCTTTTCTCTGCCTTATCAAGTACATGGAATAACAGTTTTCATTGTTAGAATAGTTATGTTCTGTAAAGTTTGTGAACACTGAATTAGTGAAAACTGAACTATTGCTCCTCAGGGAAATACAGGGCTAGGTTTCTGTGAGCTTCTGATCACATTTTGTCAGCTGATCAATATATAGCCTTATTTTATGTGTGTTTATATTTAAAGACATTCTATTTAATATATATTGTTGATTCATTACATCGAACTCATGACCCAAAACCACCATAACTCGTGCCTGAATGAAATTTATCTGACATATATTTTTTTCATAAGGCATATTACAGCCTTCTTGGACTGAGAAACATTAGACAGTATTTCATCACTATGCTTGGAGGCCATTTTAAACAGTGAAATCACCAAGAAAAGGCACAAAAATGCAAAACACATGACACTAAATAGACCATGAAGAGGAGACTTGTTTATAGTCTCAGAGCTAAAACAAGAATGTAGAGCATCACCTGTTCTGTCTCAGCTGGGAACAAATGTGTCAGGAGACTGAAATGTTTTTGTCACTGTGTGCATGTAAATGACTGTAAAAAGTGCCATGAGTATTGATTTTGGAGTTACAAATTAACTCTAATGAGTAGATGAATTTTCAAATATGGAGTCCACAGAAAAGAGCAGTGAGTATTGATTTTGGAGTTACAAATTAACTTTAATGAGTAGATGAATTTTCAAATATGGAGTCCACAGAAAAGAGCATCAACTTTATACCTGTTTTAATATCCTTCTCTACTTATTGTTTATCTAATTTCTAGGTCTGTTTCTATTGACTGATTTTTCAACTCATTTTGAATTGTATTTTCTTGGGTTTTTTTCATGTTTGGTGATTTTTTATTAAATATTAGACATTGTGAATTTTACCTTGTTGGGTGCTGAATAGTTTGTATTTATTTAAATTAGCCTTGTCATAGGATGTAGTTAAATTATTTGGGAATAATTTGATTCTCTCAAGGCTTCCTTTTAATCTTTGTTAGGACAGCCTTTAGCTTGGCTGAATTTTTCCCCATCACTGAACCAATACCTTTCTTTGTATTCTATCCAGTGCCTAGTGTATCAAGAATTTTTTCTCTCTGGCTTGTGGTAACACAAATTCTTCCCAACCCTATGTAAGCCCCAAGGATTGTTCTGCCTGCTGTTTCTTGGTGATTCTTTCCCCAGCTCTGGATAGCTGCTGCATTAGCATCAGCTGAAGACTTGAGGGAAAGAGAAAGACCCTCTGCACATTTTTGGAGTTCGCTTTCAATCTCAGTGCAGCTCTCTTCTTTCCGTACAGCTCTCTCTTTTCTGGTATTCTACCCTGTGAACACTAGCAACCTGAATTCTCTACTCTTGTCTGCTCAATTCAGAGAGACCACTGAGCTTAGCTTGAATTTGCCCTACCTGAACTGCTGCTTGGAAATTCTCTCCAGGAAGTAGGCTGAGGCAGTTGTACACCTTGCCTAGTTTGATTTCCTTCTCTCAGGGATCACTGTCCTACACAGCCTGTTTGTCCAGTGTCCACAGACCATCATTTGATACATTCTATTTCTTCTTTTAGTTGTTGAAGGTAAATCCAGTCTCTCTTACTCCATGATGGCTAGAAGTAGAAGTCCATCAGATGTATCAGGCCTATTACCTGGCAGTAGTGACATTTTTTAAGCAAAAATGGAAGTTGTCATTCTCCCTCCTTCCTTCTTCTTTCCTTCCTAATTCAATTCAAAAACATTAAGTGGGGCCAACCTAGGTAGGCTTTCATGCCAGCAGATTTGAGAGGTAGGTGGCATAGTGGTCCAGATTGGGGGTATCAGCCAGATTGGAGTGAAGGAAACTTCTTGTCTGTGGGAGTGGCCTAGCATAGGGTATTGGAGTCCCAGGTCATGGAGGAAATGTCCACATAGCTTGGCACTAGGGATCAAGGCCATGCAGGGTGCAGAGGGCTTCTATCAGCACTGTCCACTGAGAGGGCCTAGGAGCAGTGATACTTTAGTAGCAATAAGCACACCTAGTGCCAAGATCCTGTCTTCTAAATACCATTCTTTACTAAAAGGGAACTCTGATCTTCTGGCAGAAATGGCTGATTTCAGGGTTAAGTATGAGATGAGCCTGGAATAGCTTGTGCAAGAAAGTGATAAAGTACTCAAAGAATGATGGGCACATGCCTCAAGGATATAGAAACCCAATTGAAGGGGCTTCCACTAGCCAAATCTGGGATGTTTGGGGCATCAAAATAAAAATCATAATTACAGTAACATATAATATAACCCATGAATACAATGAGAATCTATAACCCTATACTGATGGAGAAAGTAGACTGATAAATCTGAAAGCAATGATAGAATTGGGAAATCCTCATTTGTCAACCATCATCATCATAATAATTCAGCCAGTAAACATTAATGGGTGCTAGTGAATCTAACTTTGACGAGGAATGGGATATTTACATATTCTCATAGTTCCTCCCAACAAATATTTATTACAAAGGGGAAAAAATAAGAGTACTTTTATAGTGGGGAAACCTGGCAGATACCAGCTTAACTCAAGTGATCAAAGTTAGTATCACCAGTAATGGGACAAGTTGAAATCATGTACCATTTAATAGAATTCAGTGAGTAGAAGGCAGCATCAGTTTTGTGGTACTCCTGCCAAATCATGAAGAGACAGCAGACAAACCCAAATTGAGTGACTTTCTATCATATAACTGGTCTGTAATCTTCAAAGTATCAAAGTAATTGAAGGAGATAGGAAAACTAAATGCAAGGATGATCCTGGATTGGATCCTTTACTGTCCAGAATGTTATCAGGACTTCTAGTGAAACTAGAATGGGATCTGGATTAGATGTTGACATTGTTAATTTCCTTACTTCAGTGGTGTGTTTTGCAGAACAGTGTCCTTATTTGTAGGAGTTGATATGTTAGAGTATTCAGGGGAGTTGGAGCATCATGTCTGCTACTTACTCTCCAGTGGGTCAGGGGTAAAAGAATTCTTTTGTACTATGCTTGCAAATTTCCATTAAGTTTGAACATTTTTGTAAGTAAGAAACTATTTCAAAATAAAACATTTAAAATTTTTTCAGCAGCTTTATTTTGTGTGAGCTTTATGAAAAACCTTAAGAAGCTGTAAGTTAATCATATTAGCTATAACTTAATCACAGGTTAATCATGACCTGAACAGAAATCAAGAATTGGACGCTTAACAGACTGAGCCACCCAGGCACCCCACGAATTCTTAATAGAAAAAAATTTCATTAAAGTTGTACAGTATTAATAAATTGGGGACTTATGGTGTAGGGACACTTTTTATTCATGGTATGTAGTGATACAGGCTCTTATTCTCTTTCTTTTGTCTCAGCCTTGTCAGACCCCAGCAGTAGACTTTCAACTTCTCCTCCTCCTCCAGCAATTGCAGTACCCTTGCTGGAAATGGGGTTCTCTCTCCGGCAGATTGCCAAAGCCATGGAAGCCACAGGTAGGACACATTTTTACATATCCGTATATGTGGATATGAGAAGCCTGGTATTATTGAGGGTGATATATTTTTTAAGAGACCATAAAGCCAATTTAGTTACAGTGGCATTGTAGCAGACACTGTTAAACTGATACCCTGAATAACTAATTATGTCACCCCAAATCAGTATCATACTTTTCTTTTTCCCTCTTCAGGTGCTCGAGGAGAGGCTGATGCCCAAAACATCACTGTCCTTGCCATGTGGATGATAGAGCACCCTGGGCATGAGGATGAGGAGGAGCCCCAGTCAGGCAGCACAGCAGACTCAAGGCACGGAGCAGCAGTCCTAGGCAGTGGTGGGAAGTCAAATGACCCCTGTTATTTGCAGTCACCAGGAGACATCCCATCAGCTGATGCTGCTGAAATGGAAGAAGGCTTTAGTGAAAGGTGAGATTCCAATTTCTGTATTTCTGTTTTATGTGGTATAAATGATAGTTCCAAGTGCCCCATTTATTTCCCCTCATAGATGCTTCTAATGGTGTGTAAAGTTGATAACTAGAGATATAAGGTGGATATTTCAGTTACAAGTTTATGTTTCTGTGAAGGGTAAAAAGGACATCACAAGTTTTGACTTGAATAGATGTTTTCATGGAAAAGGAAATAATTTTTATATAAAATTAAGCTGAAAAGAGGAAACTGAAAATTAAAACAAGTTTTTTCTGAAACAAAATAAACATTCTGATAAAATAATTTTATCTCTTATAAGTGATATAGAATGTTCATTTTTTTTTAAAGGTTTTATTTATTTATTTGACAGAGAGAGAGATAGCGAGAGAGGGAACACAAGCAGGGGGAGTAGGAGAGGGAGAAGCAGGATTCCCGCTGAGCAGGGAGCCCGATGCGGGTCTCGATCCCAGGACCCTGGGATCATGACCTGAGCCGAAGGCAGATGCTTAGCGACTGAGCCACCCAGGCGCCCCTAGAATGTTCATTTTAATATTGGAAATTGACTTAATGTGTATAGAAGTAGACTTTTAAATCTTTTCTTAATATAGATTTATATCTTCATTTTTTCTTTAGTTTTTAATATCTAGTACAATACACCATTTAAAAAAATTTTTTTTAAAGATTTTATTTATTTATTTGACAGAGAGAGACACAGTGAGAGAGGGAACACGAGCAGGGGTAGTGGGAGAGGGAGAAGCAGGCTTCCCGCAGAGCAGGGAGCCCCACGCAAGGCTTGATTCCAGGACCCTGAGATCATGACCTGAGCTGAAGGCAGAGCTTAACGACTGAGCCACCCAGGCGCCCCTACACCATTTTTTTTAATTGTAAAAAGAATTCTGTGATAATGCATAGCCTGAGATGAGATGTAATAAAATACTCCACAGTTTTTCCCCAAATCCCCCCGCTTTAGTACTTTAAGTCTTCATTTTTCTTTGTAGCCCATCAGGTCATTTGGTTAACAAGGCTTGTGTCTTCTGTAATATGTAGATATTTTCTGACAAGCTCAGTGGATATTTTCATAACTTATTTTGAAATACGTTTCTCATAGGCAGGGATTCTCAGTCATTTCAAATTTAAGTATTTAATCATTTAGAATTTAATTAAAACCATTGATCTCGTTTGGATTTGAACATGCATTAAGCATCATTTCCTTGTTGGCATAATTCATAATTAGATAGGGGCACCTGGCCGGGCTCAGTCAGTGGAGCATGCAGTTCTTGATGTTAGGGTCATGAGTTCAAGTTTTATGTTGGGCATAGAGCCTACTTAAAAAATAAATAAAAGTAAAAAAAAAAATAGATAAAATTACTGCTCAGGGCAATATGACATATTTTTAATTTAGGAGCTTTTCCAAGGACAAAGATATGTTTCAGTTTTATTGTAAATATATTTTATTCTTGGTACTGTTTGGAGGAAAACGCAATACCAAAAGCGAGCTTGTGCCTATGCTTTCCATTTATGGTGGTTCTTAAAAATTTGTGTTGCTTTCTAATTTGCACTTGTAGTCCTGATAATCTGGACCATACAGAGAATGCAGCTTCTGGAAGTGGACCACCAGCTAGGGGTCGCTCAGCAGTAACAAGAAGGCACAAGTTTGATTTAGCTGCTCGCACATTGCTAGCAAGAGCAGGTAATTGATATGTTTCACATCCTTCTGATGGTAAAAGTCATATAGTTTATTTATATTTGAAAGTCAGTGTGAAAGCAACATTAAAGAAGATGTAAACTAATGATACTAAGTACTCAGTTCCTCCACATTAACAGAGTAGCTATTTGCATTTTACTATCTATTTACATAATTTTGCATTGAAATCACAGCATACATTCATAGATTTATTTTTAAGCTTTCTCTGGGTACAAAAGTCTATACTGGTTACTTGTAGATCCTGAGATTTTTCCTAAATATGCTTTCTGCTGTCAAGCAATTTATACTTTAAGAAGTGAAGATGCATGTTTCAAGTTTAACATTAATAGTGAGAAGGAGCTGAAAAGAGCACTGTGCCAGAATAGGCACTGGCTGTTCTGATGTCCTCTGGGCCTTAGGGCTAAACTAGTAGGTAAGGCCCTAGATAAGCAAAAATAAATTCCATTGCTACTTTAGTAAAATACTTGCAGTATTATGCTCTAGACATGTGAAGTGTCATTTATAGGGGAACATATTTTCCAAACTAAAAACTAGGATATGTGATTTGTTAAAATAGCATTTGATCTTTGAACTATTAAAACATAATTTTTTAGTGATTTATGGTAACAGAGAAGTTGAGATTGAGCTAGAAAATATAGGATGTGTAGTTAATATATAGTGAAAGGGACTGATTAAAAAAAAATAACCCTAAAAGAATACTAACAGCCCATATTTATTGAGTGTTTTTCTGTATTACATTATGAAGTATTTTACATGGATTATTTACTGTTAACAGCCCTGTAGTTAGGAGTGCTCTTCCCCATTTTACAGAGAGGAAACACACGTGATAGGTAAAATTTTATGTTTATGGTCTGGAATCCCAGTAAATCAGCTGAGCTAGGCTCTTTCCTGCATGTATGGCAGTTAAGAACTGGCGAAATATTTAGAATTACTTATTCATGCAAATAAAATGCCTTTCTTGTTTTGTTCTGAGCGGGGTTATACCGCTCTGTGCAGGCCCACAGGAATCAAAGTCGGAGAGAAGGAATATCTTTGCAGCAAGACCCAGGGGCGCTGTATGACTTTAATTTAGATGAGGAATTGGAAATTGATCTTGATGATGAAGCGATGGAAGCTATGTTTGGACAAGACCTGACCAGTGACAATGATATTCTGGGAATGTGGATCCCAGAGGTACTGGATTGGCCTACCTGGGTGTGTGTGATTGCAGCGGGGGCTGCTCTGACTTATTTTCCTGCCCTCCTGTTCATACAACTTACTAACAACAGCCTTGCCTAGAGTTGTTACACTCTGAAAAGTCTTACATCTCATCCTAAAGTTTGGGGCTCTAACGCTTGATGTTACTTTGATACCTACAAACTAGTAAGAAAAAGTCTCTCTTGCTTTCTCTGTGCGATTTTATTGCTTCTCTCCCCAGACTAGATGAATAGAGCCATATAATGGTAATATTTGATTATAATATCAAAGATAGATTCCAAAACAGGCATCAGGTCCTAGTCAGCTGTGCTGGGTGTAGAACATGGCTGCTGTGCTCACCTTGCTGTCTGAATGCATGCTCTTCTCCTTCGTAGGTTCCACTTAATCACTGTAATGCCTCATTCTAACAACCAGTGCCACCTAGGTCTTGTAACTGCTTCCATCCAGGGCCAGGGTACATGATGGGTTTGTATGTTTTCGTTGTTTAGCATTATGCTTTTGTAGCAGGGAGACTGAAAACTTCACAGGTCTAAGTCCTACAGAAAAGAGCATCTACTCTATTACGTTAATAAGATAAATGAATCCAAATGACTTCTTAGAATTCAGATAAGAGATATGCATGTTATGGCCAGATGAAAAGTAGCTTTATTAGGATTTTTTAAAAAATCATTTGAGATAGGGCTAATTGTCATTTTTATTAACTCCTCTCAGTAGGATAGTGAGTTACCTTTATTATAACTTACCAGATTGAGAAAGGGCAAAGAACACCTTCAGATCGTGAGATCTAAATTCTGATTTGAAAGAAATTTGTTACGTAACATTAATGAACATCCTGCAAATACTCCAGCATATGTAAACGAAGTCATTAATATATAAATATCTATTTTCCTCTTCTTAATTTTATGTTAAATTGACTAATAATTTGATATGAAATTTTGTGCAGCATGTTTGTGAATCTGAAGACAGGGAAGAAGTGGTGGTGTGTGAACTGTGTGAATGCAGCGTCGTCAGTTTCAATCAGCACATGAAGAGAAATCACCCTGGCTGTGGGCGCAGTGCAAACCGCCAGGGCTACCGCAGCAATGGCTCCTATGTGGATGGCTGGTTTGGTGGTGAATGTGGGAGTGGAAATCCATACTACCTGCTGTGTGGCAGCTGCAGGGAGAAGTACTTAGCCCTGAAGACCAAATCCAAGACAACAACTTCTGAAAGGTACCTTGAAATTGTATAGCTCTCCAAACCCTCTGAATGAAGAGTGTAAAGTATCTCTCATCAAGACATGGGAATTACAGCTTTTTTCATGTGAGGAGTTACACTTAACCTTTCCTTAAGTCCCATGATTGCTGAATTGGGGTCAGGAAGGATGGAGGAGGTTGAGGAATTCATGTTTTGCCAGAGCTGGGAGCCTGTAGCCTAGGAACAGATTCTTCACTGGAGTTTGATTTCGTTAACCTTTGACTTGTTGGCAGGTTCTGGGCAGGACCCTTGCCTTAACCTTTAGGAAGCTTATGGTCAGTTTTTCTCATTGGTGTTTTTTACCCTGTTTTTGACCTCTTAATTAAGATCTTTTTATTGATTAAAAAAATAGAGTTTAGATTAAATGAGCTTCCATGAAAACATTACTTCTTTCTATCCTTGAATAGCAATTCATCTGTAGTGAATAGGATTTTTGCCCTTATTGACAACTATTAAAATCTTTACGGGTTCTGGAATAGGTTTTGATTAAGAGTTGTTGTAGGTGACCCAGAAACCTCCCCAGTAATTTGGTAAAATAGTCACTGATTTTTGTAAACCTGTGTGAACCTACATACCAGTAGTTTTTATTAGTGCATAACATGAAACACTTTTATTTTGTGTTGCTTTATTAATGACCTTTAAAAATGTTCTAATGCCTTAATTTGCATTTTTGGGTACTAACTGTTCTGTATAAAAATACAATGTTCTTCATGTTTGGTGCAGGTACAAGGGACAAGCTCCAGATCTAATTGGCAAGCAGGACAGTGTGTATGAAGGTAGTTGTTTTGAGAGCTTCTTTATTTTACATGTGTTTTTATATATACCTTCTGCTTAACATCTGTTACTAAAATTTACCTTTATGTGTATGTGTTTGTATTTAGGTACATGTTAACTTAAAACTTTCTGTAAAAAGCTCAAGGTAGTTTGAAAGCAACAGTCCTAGTTCTTAAAACCAAAGGAAAAGGACCTGGATTCAAATACTAGCTTGACCACAGAATGTTAATTTCTGTATGGCATATTTTTTTTCAAATTTTTTCTCTAATTGAGAAAAATAAATAAAAAATTGAAGACAGCATGAATTTATCTGGAGCATTCATTTCCTTGAAATCATCATCTCTAATGATTATGGACAGGGTTAAGAAGTCTTTGCTGACCCCATAACAATAGCTTGTATTAGTTGAAACCTCCATTACCAGCTGTAACGTTTGCTGTTGTTTTAAGTGGGTTTGGCTGCTCTGGCTCCTTTTCCCTTAGACTCTCACTATGCCTCAGGAGTGCACTTTGGTTGGGTCACCAAGGAGACGGCGCCGTAATTCATCTTGTGGGCACTGGGCTTTCCTTCCATCTGCATTTTAGACATATCTCATAGTAACCATTGCCAGTAGAGTTGTGTCATGTTTAAATTCCAGAAGACTGGGACATGTTGGATGTTGATGAAGATGAAAAGCTAACGGGTGAAGAAGAATTTGAATTACTTGCTGGACCACTTGGTTTAAACGACCGACGCATTGTACCAGAACCAGTTCAGTTCCCCGACAGTGATCCCTTGGGAGCATCGGTAGCAATGGTAACTGCTACCAACAGTATGGAAGAGACTCTGATGCAAATAGGTAAACTGAAATGCTAATTGGCGTGGATTTTATAGAGTCTATATTAATTTGTTTCTTAGGTTAGGTGGTAAATAATAACACATTGTTCCACCCCATCAAGGGTTGTTAGCCAGTTGTTTTAACATTTTGAAGGTATAATGTAGTATTTTTTATTTTTTGTTTTTATGAAATATTGAAGTGATAAAAAGAAAATTTATAAAATATGAGTATGATTATTTTTTGTATTTATTTTGATAAGGGAATCTTGGAACTGACTAAAAACAATTTGGCAGTCTTTTTTTTATTTGCACGAGAAGGTATGGGTAACTTTTGCTATCGGGAATATAAAATAAAAAATTAGTCTTGATGACTCAGCCTTTTCTCTTGTACTCAAAGCATATTTAAAAAACTGTATCTTTCCTTTATTTGTTAGTATCAATAGAAATGATATATGAGCAAAATAAATGAAACCAAAATATTTTAAGAAACATATATAATAGATTATTGCCTTAGAAATATTTATTCCTCCCGAGGAATTTTCTGTGTAACTAAGTCCAGATGAACAAAACACATTGGTTTGCTGTGTTTCCTTGCAGCCCAGAGCCGAGATAGAATGGGAAAATTTTTCATTAGTCCGGATATGTTTTTCAGGTTGCCATGGCTCTGTAGAAAAGAGTTCCTCTGGAAGAATAACACTAGGTGAGCAGGCAGCTGCTTTAGCAAACCCTCATGACCGGGTGGTGGCTTTAAGGAGAGTGACTGCGGCTGCTCAGGTTCTTCTGGCAAGAACCATGGTAATGAGAGCTCTGTCTCTTCTCTCAGTCAGGTGAGTATCATTTTGTGTCAAATGATGCTGTTAGTTTCTAGTATATATTAGACAGGAGCCTGATATTTTTTGGGAGAATGAGATAGAGTTTTTAGAACCTTGAATATCTCCTGTCGAATGAAAGAAGTTAGACATAGTTATCATTTTTATTCATTCAGTCAGTAAATACATAGCTCTTTTTGGTAGAAAATAGCACCACTATAATAGTTGAGTAAACTGCAAACATTTTTTATTATCTGAAATGGGATACTAAGGCTATCGGTCCATTTGGTGCAAGATAAAAATAAAAGTTTGAATGAATTTTTCTGCAAAATTGACCAACTGTGTAGCTACTTCAACCTGCAGAGTCCATCATAGAGATTCCTGCCATGTTCATATTGTGGAATGTTATATTTAAAAAGGAAGAAAGCCAAGAATACATAAAAGACATCCATTTAAGATCTGGTTAAGCAAAGGTATATAACTGTAAATCAGTGAAGACAGGAGGACCCTGAAATAAAAACTCAAAATAAAATTTAGAGGAGACTCTGGTATTGGTTCAAGAATAGGTAGTTTGGAGAGTGGAGGAGAGAGAGTTTAGAAACTAACCCACATATATAGATAAACACATGATTTATAGTTTGATTTATGATTGTGTTTATAACGCAGAACAATGCGGAATTAATGTCTTTTCAGTAACTTGGGCTAGGTTAGGGGCACCTGGGTGGCTCAGTCGTTACGCGTCTGCCTTCGGCTCAGGTCATGATCCCAGACCCTGGGATCGAGCCCTGCACCAGGCTCCTGCTCCGCAGGAAGCCTGCTTCTCCCTCTCCCACTCCCCCTGATTGTGTTCCCTCTCTCACTGTGTCTCTCTCTGTCAAATAAATAAAATTAAAAAAAAAAATCTTTAAAAAAACATAATAACTTGGGCTAGGTCAGATGGTTTATTCACATAGGAAAAAGTGAGTCTTGGCTCCAACCTCACACTAAATAAAACAAGTATTTCCAAGTAGCTCTTAGACCTAAATGTGAAAGATAAATCAGTAATGTTTCTGTAAGGTAGGAAGAATTGATTCTTGATCTTGGGATAGGCAGAGATTTCTTAAGAGAGTCACAAAAAGCATTTATCATAAAGAAAAAGATTGATAAATTGGACTACATTAAAAAAGAACTTCTGTTTAGCAAAAGTCATTAAGAAAGTAAAAAAACAAGCCACTGAATGGGAGAAGAATTAACATTGTATATAGCCAACAGAATATGTAAAGAATTCCTATTAATCCATAAGAAAAAGAGACAGCCCAAAAGAAAAATGGGGAAAATGCAAAATAATATGAGAGGATCTCCAAATGGCCAGTGAACATGGAAAATGAGGTGGTTAACCTCAATAGTCTTCAGAGAAATGAAAATGAAAACCCAATGAGATATTAATCCACACCCACCAGAATGGCTAAAATTTAAAAGACTGGGGGGAAAATGTGAGCAGGAGGATTGGAGCCCCTAGAACTCTCATATACTGCTAGTGAGAAAGTAAGTTGGTCCAGCTACTTTGAAAAACTGAAAATAGTACCAACCAAAGGTGTATATTAACATACTCTATGACCTAGAAAGCTACTTCTGAGTATACATTCAACAGAAATGCTTATATACGTGCACCCAAAGACATAAGCAAGAACATTCGTGGCAGTGCTGTTCATAATAGCCCCGTGCTGGAAACCACCCAATTGTCATCAGTATGGATAGATGAATTGTGGTCGATTTTATTACTATGTCCGTGAAAATGGGTATCTGCTGCTATAAAGCAACAACATGGATGAGTCTTATAAATAAGCATAGTGTCGAACAAAAGAAGCCAGACACAAAAAAATACAGACTTCAGTATCTTATTTATATAAAGTTCAAAACAGGCAAAACTGATTTATGACTTTAAAAGTCAGTGATATTGGTTAACATTTGAGGGCCTAGTGACTGAGAAGGGCTTAAGCTGGCTTCTGAGGTATTGGTAATGTTCTGTTTCTTGATCTGGGAAATGATTACATGGGATTGTCCAGTTTGTTGAAAATTCATAATTTGTGAACTTTCCTGTATATAATACTTTGGTAGTTGAGTTATGCTTCACGTATATTCAATTAAAATAAAATAGGAAGGTGTTAAAAGTTTCAATAACCGTTTCCAGCTTACATAATATTTTTTGACTTCTCTTAGGATATATATGACTAGTGATATTGTTGTTGGTACTTTGATATGATATGTGGGCTCCAAATGGTCCCTTCAGAAAGCTGTTTTCTTTATCCATCTGAAGTGTGTTTCTTTCCTGGCAGTGGTTCCAGTTGTAGCCTGGCTGCTGGTCTTGAATCTCTGGGGCTTACAGATATCCGAACCCTGGTTCGATTAATGTGCTTGGCTGCAGCAGGGAGAGCTGGCCTCTCCACCAGCCCTTCTGCCATGGCCAGCCCCTCAGAACGCTCTCGAGGTGGGCACAGCAAGGCTAGTAAGCCCATCTCTTGCCTGGCTTATCTGAGCACAGCGGTGGGATGTCTGGCATCAAACACTCCTAGTGCTGCAAAACTCCTGGTGCAGTTGTGTACACAGGTGAGCTGGTTTTCAGTGCTTTTCTTGTTGCGTTGCTTATTTCTGACCAATTCTTGAAGAGCCTTTTGAGGTGAAATCTTTTTGTTCCCAAATTATATGTAAAAATTAAATCTCTTTGTTCCAATTGCCTCTTCAGAACTTGATTTCTGCTGCAACAGGTGTAAATCTAACCACAGTCGATGATCCAATTCAGCGAAAGTTTCTACCCAGCTTTCTCCGAGGAATTGCTGAAGAGAATAAGCTTGTAACCTCCCCAAACTTTGTTGTAACTCAGGCCCTTGTGGCATTACTAGCAGACAAGGGGGCCAAACTGAGACCTAACTATGATAAGTCAGAAGTTGAAAAAAAAGGTAAGTTGCATACCATTTACCATTTAAATATATAGTCTTGTAACCAATTTGATTCATGCTTTTTAAAACATGTTTTAGAGTTGTTGTAAGTGATGAATTACATAGCATCATGTGTACTTCTTAAGTTCAGATCTTTTCATTGTGCATGGAAACAAATATTAGAAAATGTATCAAATTTGTCTTGGTTTGATTAGATTATTCTATTAGATAATGGTTTGAGTCACCAATAGATAATAATTCTGGTTAGGTTTCCTTAATAAAACCTAGATAAAGATAGTGCTATTTTTCTCTTTGTCGTAAGATGATAACAGTTTGAAGGGATTCTTTAATCACTATTGTCTACCCTTCTCTTCATCAGGACCATTTGGCCAAGATAGATAGGCTTTTGGATCTATCAGCACAGCCCCTTGACTGGCTGTTATGATCACTTTTGAGTAGCAGAAGCCAAACTTTTACTTTTTTAGGGCATCCTGCCTCTGCCCTGGCCTTAAAATCATTTCTGCTGCATTCTCAGTCTGTGTGGCCTTAGAGCAAAGACGATTGATTGATGTATATAAATGTATAATTACAATGAATCAGATTTACTGTAGAATGTGACATGAGATAAATACTTTATACTTGTATGCATATCTTAGTGAAATGATTGCTTGCAAAAGTGCTAATTCTTAAAAGATATGGGTTAACCCATTTTTTTTTTTTGTTTACCACCACCAACTCTTACCTGGGCATCATTTCATTGTTTTGTTTAAGCAGGTTTAACTGCCCAATTGTATGCCCATCCTTCCTATGATCCTTCTGCTGTAGGCCCTCTGGAGCTGGCTAATGCCCTGGCAGCCTGCTGCCTGTCCTCCAGGCTGTCCTCACAGCATAGGCAATGGGCTGCTCAACAGCTTGTGCGCACTCTTGCTGCACATGACCGCGACAACCAAACTACTCCCCAAACACTCGCCGATATGGGAGGAGATCTCAGAAAATGCTCCTTTATCAAGTTGGAGGCTCATCAGAACAGAGTATGTATTTTGAGCCCTATGTGTGTTAATCACCTATGTAAGATAAAATAGTTTCTTTCCTTCTCAAAGAGCTCAAAGTTCAGATCTTAGCCTCTCTCTCACTCTCTCTCTCACACACACACACACAAAATTATCAATATTTGTCTAGTAGTTACAAGCTCTCCTTTCTCTTTAAGTTGACATAATAGTATACAAATAGAAAAATCAGATGGGGGATGAGAAGAAAACCAAGGGAATTGCCTCACAAAAAATGAGGGCTTGTCCATGCAAAAGGAAAAGAAATTGTTCTCACTATTTTAATTTAACTCACTGGACTCCAGAGCATTGACAAGGGGGGTTTAGGAAATGAAGACTGATCTCCATAATTTACCAATTTAAAAGTCACTTCTTAGTCTGTACTGTTTATTTTGTAGAATGTATAAATATGTTGAAATATTTATACTTTATTGAATTAAATAAACATGTTTAGTTAAAGATTCTAATACTATCTTCAATAACTCAAATGTTTGGGCATAGTACTTTAAAGCCATACAAATAGATGTATGTTTACAAGCCAGTTAGAAAAGAGTGAGACTATGTATACTATGTTATAACGTGAATGTTTTTCTTTTACAATTTCCTTGTAGATTTTTAAAAAAACTTGATAGAGAATGACAATCATTTTAATCAAAACTTGCTTAAAATTGTTGGACTTTTTCAGAATGAAATCTTGCCATTTGCAACAACATGGGTGGAGCTGGAGAGTATAATGCTAAGCGAAATAAATTGGAGAAAAACAAATACCTTGATTTCACTCCTATGTGGAATTTAAGAAACAAAACAAATGAACAAAGGAATAAAAAAGAGACAGGCCAAAAAATAGACTCTTAACTATAGAGAAAAAACAGAGGGTTCCAGAGGGGAGGTGGATAGGGTATGAGTGAAATAGGTGATGGGGATTAAGAGTACACTTATTATGCTGAGCACTGAGTAATGTACAGAGTTGTTGCATCTCTCTGTTGTACATCAGAAACTAATATAACACACTATGTTAACTATACTGGAATTAAAATTAAAAACTTAATAAAAAAATTGTTGGACTTCTCCAACTTTTCTAGGTAATGACTTGTGTTTGGTGTAATAAAAAAGGACTCTTAGCTACAAGTGGCAATGATGGTACCATCCGGGTGTGGAATGTTACCAAGAAGCAATATTCCCTGCAACAAACCTGTGTGTTCAACAGATTGTGAGTGCTAACATCAGCTCTCATGTGTAACTTTTAAAATAAGAGAATCCTGACGTGCTTCGTTTTGGTTGTGTTAACATAATCAAATTGTCACTAAACTTTATTACAATTTTTCTTATACAGTAGTCTTACTATATCTCCAGTGTGTTTTTAAATTTCCAGGATAGTAATTAAGAAAATAAAAATTTTAACTATCAATATCTGGATTTAACTCAGAATTAAATCAAGGTCTACTGTGTTAGCATTATAAATGTGTTAAATTCTATAAAAGAGTAGCCTAATTTTCTATCATTCTTTAAGGATTATTTAGGAATTAATGATATTTCCTCTGTAGCAGAATGTACAGCTTTTATAGTTTTGTAGCTAGCTATAGGTATTTCTTTTCTGAGAACTTCCCTAGAGATTAGGCAAACAAGAGTCAATGTGCTCTGAATAATAACCAAATATACAAACCATGCAGAATCAGAATGTCTTTGGGGCGCCTGGGTGGCTCAGTCGTTAAGCGTCTGCCTTCGGCTCAGGTCATGGTCCCAGGGTCCTGGGATTGAGCCCCGCATTGGGCTCCCTGCTCCGCGGGAAGCCTGCTTCTCCCTCTCCCACTCCCCCTGCTTGTGTTCCCTCTCTCACTGTGTCTCTGTCAAATAAATAAAATCGTAAAAAAAAAAAAAAAAAAGAATCAGAATGTCTTTGTTGACAAGGTAAGCACTACATTAAATGAGTAGTCTAAGGATCACTCTTTTGTAATTCTACATTTTTCACATCGTGATAAACACTAGTGAATATGTGATTGTCAAATTCTGCTAGCCAGGCTTTCGAAATTAAGAATCTGTATTATGTACTCTAGTCCATACGAAACCTTTATTTTAAGATTTGGGGGTTAGTATATTTTTGGATGATCAGGATTAGAATCCCATATGTGTCTCTCATATTCTAGAGAAGGAGATGCTGAGGAAAGCCTGGGGTCACCCAGTGATCCAAGTTTCTCACCTGTTTCCTGGAGTATCAGCGGCAAATACCTAGCTGGGGCCTTGGAAAAGATGGTGAATATTTGGCAAGTTAATGGTAAGAGTCATGCCAATACTAGCAAAATACTGAAGGTACTTTTTAAGCCTTTTTCTTAGCTTTCTGAGTCCAAATACTCTCGAAACTCACAGTCTATTCATCAGTTGTGTAGATCTATGCATTTTTTGGTTTAAATTAAAGAGGATGATGGGGGCGCCTGGGTGGCTTAGTCAGTTAAGTGTCTGCCTTCAGCTCGGGTCATGATTCCAGGGTCCTGGGATGGATCGTCACGTGAGCTCTTTGCTCAGCGGGGCGTCTACTTCTACTTCTCCCTCTCCCTCTGCCCCTCCCCCTGCCTCATGCTCTTTCTCAAATAAATAAAGTCTTTTTAAAAATTAATTAGGGAAGCCTGGGTGGCTCAGTCAGTTAAGTGTCTGCTTTCGGCTCAGGTTATGATCCCAGGGTCCTGGGATCGAGTCCCGCATCGGGCTCCCTGCTCCGTGGGCAGTCTGCTTCTCCTTCTGCCTCTGCAGCTCCCCCTACTCCCCCCCGCCTTCTCTATCTCTCTGACAAATAAATAAAATTGTTTAAAAAAATCAATTAGAGGATATGCTCATTTCCTGACTTTTTTCTAGGAGTTTCAACTAATCTGGTAGCTATAAACTAAAAATTCTTTTCATGTACTACTATAAGTGTTCAGAATAGGATTTGAGCTATGAATTTTTAGTGATAGATTCTTTTGAATCACTTGAAATATTTCTATTAAAATTGTTCATTTCACAAGTACAAACTCTTGTCAATTTCTAATAGCATGTCTGAAAGGTAAAAATCATTGTAACTTGGGCTTATCCATATTTTTGTTTGTTTTTGCGTATTTAAAGAATGGCTATTCTGTTTCACATATTTGAAGGAACAGCTAGCCTTAACTGTGGGGAAATTTCTTATGTTTCATTATCAGTAATTATAGGAAAGGACTTAATTAAGCATTTGATTTCTACACTGAATATTTTCCTTTACTCCCTCTTTAATAAAGCTATCATTTTTGTCCCATTAGTAGTTACAGAAAAGCCTATGAATTTGATAATCATGTGTAGTATATAAATAAAGGATCCTGCCTTGTAGTCATATTCATTCTTAGTCTATTAGGAAATTGGGGACTGCCTTGAGTGTACTATTAGAATTAAGTAGTAGTTATTTTTGTATTACAGTTTTTGAGAAATTAGTAACAACTATTAATATTTTCTCCCGCTTTAGGAGGAAAAGGATTAGTAGATATTCAGCCTCATTGGGTATCTGCCCTGGCTTGGCCAGAGGAAGGTCCAGCTACAGCCTGGTCAGGAGAGTCTCCAGAATTATTGTTGGTGGGACGGATGGATGGATCTCTAGGACTGATTGAAGTTATTGATGTATCAACCATGCACCGTCGAGAATTGGAGCATTGCTATCGAAAGGATGGTAAATGACTGGACTTGTGTCTAACTGAGAATATATTCCCCCAATCAAGAAAACTTAATTTTTTGGCACTTTTAAAAATGTTGAATGAATACTACTTTTGGCTTTGTTCTCTAAATTTTCCGGTTGGTATTTCATTTTAATTAGTTACCAAGTTGAAAGATACTTCTCTTCCAACACCTATAATACATCTCTGCCAGAATGAGATCTAGTAGTATTATATTAGTCATTCATCCTTTGTGTAAGTATCTGAACACTTAGAGTAGGGCTCCAAGTCTCCCTTGAAAGTTAGGAATGTCCAAGAGAAAAAAATTATAATCATTGGTAGAGGTGAAATTGAGGAAATGGGAGGAGGCAGAGGGAAGTTCCTGGTGTGACAAGAAATAGTAGGAAGTCTACCTTCATTTATTTTCTCTGTGTTCCCTTTGGATGCCTAGGCCTATCTTACTACATAGTTAGTTGTTTTGGGGGATTGGAACATTTCATAGATCACGGTCCCCCAGCTTACATGGTATTCTATTAGCAGAATAGAATGAGGTTTTTTTTGTTTTGTTTTGTTTAATTAAATTAATTTTTTTTTTTTTAAGATTTTATTTATTTGACAGAGAGAGACACAGCAAGAGAGGGAACACAAGCAGGG